GTTTATGGTTGGGAATAAAATTTTCTTTCATTTTATTTTATCCTTGAAAGACAATTATTTTTATTGATGAATAAATAGAGGTTAATTTTATCTATTTGGGCTCGATATGTATTTATTCTTTTGAATTAGTAAAAGTTTGAGTTTTCGAGAAATCGGGGTCGTTACACCATTATTGTTAACATATAATTTGTTTCCTTGTTTATAGGATTTGCATATAGTTAAATTTGGTAGATATCCCTAGAATAAAGGGTCACAATTGTGTATGCTAGTCCTATAAATGATTGTATTCAGCTGAGGTCAATAATAAGATTGATTCATCACTCTTTGTAGTGGTCTTTATTTTTGTCACTCCCCAGTTTTATGGTATCAAAGCCGAGGGTTATTTAAGTGTACAGAATGGTCAAAACGGCCATGACTGGTGCACGCAGATATGAGGATTCAAGGGTCTCCATGGGGACCTCTGAACCTATCTCTACAAGTGCACCCATTACACCTAATCATCCTCCTACGACCACTCTCTGAAAATTCCTCTCTTCAAATTACCACTACTCGGCTGAATAGTAAAAACTTTCTCCAATGGTCTCGATCTGCTCTTGTGGTTATTCGTGGTCGTGGACGCCTTGGATATGTGATTCAAACCACAATAAAACCTGCTGAAAGTGACCCAGCCTATGCAACCTGGGATGCACAGAATTTCATGGTAATGGCTTGGATTGTTAATTCAATGGAAGAGGATATTATAGAATCCTACCTATATTACTATACAGCAAAGGAGCTTTAGGATGCTCTTACTGTTGCCTTTTTGATTTGGAGAACTCTGCCCAACTCTTTGAACTCCGAAATAAGGCACGGAATTTACGCCAAGGAGATCTCAATGTCACACAAGATTACAACGCTCTGCAGCGGTTATGGCAAGAAATTGATATGTTTGTTCAGATTGATTGGGACATACCTAAAGATGCTGAGAAATATAAGAAACAGGTGGAGAAGGAGAGAGTTTATGATTTCTTGGCTGGGTTAGTTCCCGAAGTGGACGAAGTAAGAGGAAGACTACTGGGCATCAAGCCACCTCCAGTGATTGATGAGATTTTTGCCGAGGTACGTCATGAGGCCAGTCGAAAGCGTGTCATGCTTGGAGACTCCAAGCAACCTTCCTTGGAAAACTCAGCACTTGTCGTTCGTGGACAGGAGCCGTCTCGGGTGACCAAAAAAAAAAAAATTCATGGTGTGATCACTGCAAGCAGACAAATCACTCCATAGATAAGTGTTGGGCTCTACGTGGCCGACCGCCGAATCGAAAGCAGTTGACCGGTAATAATGGGAGATAGAATCAGATCTACCGTGAGGAAAACCAGTTGCGCAACTCCTCTGGTTTCCAGAGCACTACCGAGTCTCTACTGGCCACTACCCAGTCCGAAAATGTTTCCCTTTCACTCACCAAAGCCCAACTCGAGCAACTGTATAAACTCATCACCTCTGCAACTTCATCCTCCAGTTTACTGGCTGAAAGAGGTAATTATATTTCAGCGTTGACAAGCAGGAGTAACGTTGAACATTGGGTTATTGACTAGGGAGCCACTGACCATATGGCGGGTTGTGAAAAATTGTTTCATTCATACTCACCATCTCCCGGACATTTTAAAGTAAAAATAGCAGATGGGTCGCTCTCACCAGTTGCTGGAATGGGAACTATTAGACTCAATCCATCTGTTGAATTAAAATCTGTTTTACATGTTCCAAACCTTTCTTGCAATCTTCTTTCTATTAGCAAATTAACTAAAGATTTGCATTGCAGTGTCAACTTTACTGAGTCGGTGTGTATTTTTTAGGACCCGACTTCGGGGAAGAGGATTGGCAATGCTAAAGAACGTGAGGGACAATACTATTTTCTGGAAGACGCATACTTGAATAAACAAGCTCAAATTGCAAGCTGCGAATCTATCTCTAGAGAACAAGAAATAATGTTATGGCATCGTCGTTCAGGTCATCTAAGTTTTTCATATCTTAAGTATTTATTTCAATTAGCCCTGGGGAGAATGACAAAAATAAAGACCACTACAAAGAGTGATGAATCAATCTTATTATTGACCTCAGCTGAATACAATCATTTATAGGACTAGCATACGCAACTGTGGTGCGATCCTTTATTATAGGGATATCTACCAAATTTAACTATATACAAATCCTATAAACAAGGAAACAAATTATATGTTAACAATAATGGAACCGTAAAATATGGGAACAAATAAACCACCAAATCTGCCTCTAATTTCTGGAATATTCAACACTCCCCCTCAAACTGGACAATAAAAATTAAATAATCCTAGCTTGTCCACCATTTTCTCGAACATGGGTTTAAACAATCCGTTTGTTAATAAGTCTGCGACCTGTTCGAATGAAGGCACGTACACAATGCATATTGTCCCATTTTCTATCTTCTCTTTGATGAAGTGTCTATCTACCCTGTTAAAGGGTATTTAGGTCA